ACTTGGAGTCCAGACAAAGTACCCATCAATGTCTACCAAAACTCACTGCTGCCTGTGAGCTACCAGCTGGTATCACAAAAGTCCAGTGAAAAGTTACAGTCAGCAGAGGCAGGAGATGTCTTGTGTTACTGTGTGATAACATAAGGTCCCAGAGATTGAGTGGTAGTAGAAAAGGGGAACATCTGAGTTACCCAGAACAGTAGACCCTTGTTTGACTGATTTTCACAAAGGATCTAAATCTTCAAGAGCAGTGGTTCTTAGTCAGGGCAGCAAACTGGCATCACCTAGAAAACTTCTAAGACTGGTCATGGCTGAACTACACACCCAGATTCTGAGTTAATGGGTTAGGGATGCAGCCTAGAACCAGTGATCCTTTTAAAGAGCCATCATGGTTCTAATGTGCAGCCAAGGTGGAAATCCATTTATGTATGGTTTCTTCATGGCAAAAAGGTGTAGATGTGTGCATGTCTTTATTAGAATAATCAACAGTCTGTGTTGTAACAAAAATTCCCAGGCTATCAGAGACTTAAGGCAATGAACTTGATTTCTTGTGGGAAGGACTGTGTGTTTTTGTTTATTGTTTTCAAATAGACCTGGAGATAGTATATATTTGCTGTGGAAAATCCTTTTGTACACTGTGAAGATTTGTCACTGTGATTGGTTTAATAAACAAGCTGACTGGCCAATAGTTGAACAGGATGAAGTTAGGTGGGAAAGCCAAACTGAGAATAATGGGAAGGAGAAGGGCAGAGCCAGGAGTCACTAGCCAGATGTAGAAGGAACAGGAGATGAATGTGCCATGCTAATAAAGGTACCACCACATGGCAGAGCATAAATAAGGAATATGGGTTAACTAGTTAGTCAGTAAGCCTAAGCTATTAGCCGAGCATTTATAATTCATATTCAGCCTTTGAGGGGTTATTTGGGAACTGGCAGGTGGGAGAGAAACCTCCATCTACATATATCAGTTCTTCTATGATCCTCTTGGTAAGCATCCTGGCACATGGCCCCAAACAATCTGTTGAGATATGATCTTTTTGTGGGTTCAGGAGAAAGAAGCAGGGTTGGTGACTGCTTAGTTTCTGCCCCAGATAAACACTGTGAAAATATTGAAAACACCTTTGTAAATGGTGTCTATAGACCCCTAACTTGAGAACATGTCTTATATTAACGTTCAATATTAACCTTACATAGCAATTTCCTCCTATGCTTATAGAGGCAATAATACTCTGAAGGTCATTTTGGCTATAATTTTTAGCAGGGACTGACAGGATCTAATTTTATAAATGAGCTCACCACTTTCTGTGCAGACCACCGCAGTATTTGCTGGGGGTGATACAGTAGATATAGGTTGCTGACTGTGGTGATTGATAGGAGTCCAGACATACACCCTTTCAGATGTGCATGGTAAACACACCTGTTTCTTGCATGTTGTCTGCTAGGGATGTGAAACTGATGTTCATAACACACTGGCACTTCAGGTCTCAAGTGATACGTCAACTTCTAGCTTGACAGATTTCTGCTTTGCATGAACATCCTGCACTTTAGTCATTCATTGTCCCCACAGTGATTGGGTACACGCTGCGTTGTTGAAGATTAGGGTGCTTTGGACTCATTTCCACCTCTGCAAAGTGAGAGACTTTTGGTCTCTCTCACTTGTGTTCCAATAAATACCCAAGCAGAGATGAGAACCAGAGAGGCACAGATCCCAAGGCTTAAATTTAGAAAAAATATACATATCTAGGGGGTAATAAATACGGCAGGATAATACAGAGAGGGTGACGCTGTTACTACCAGTTACCAGACTCAGAAACACAAAGGAGTTGCCCAGGCCCGCTGGCTGGAAAGGGATGGAGTTGAGCAGGTGCAGGACTCAGCCCCTCCCACAGGGTCGGATGGCTGGCTCTCTCAGTGCACTTCCTTTGTAGGTCAAAAATCATGGACTCTGGGGAGAAAATCTTGTCAATGATCAATGAAGAACATTGAGAACAGTGGACCAGGCTTCTTGGTCTTTCAGTAGGTGTGAGGTCCTGTGTGGGTGGACACTGGGCAGGATCTAGAGACATTGTTTCCTGGGGTGCTGGGGCATAGGTATTGACTCCACTTGGGAGTTCATGCAGCCTGCAAATGACCCTGGAGCAGCCAGTCCAGGAGAATACAGGAAGCAACTGGCCAGAAGGGGCCTATTCTCTGCTGGGGCCTGCAGCCCTGGGGCTTGATCTCGGGACCACCTGAGAGAAGCATAGAACACATCCAGAAAGGATAGTCTCGAGGCAATGGCAGACATAAAGGTATCCACCTCAAGCTGGCTTTGTGCAGTTATGAAAACACACAGTTCGGACATATGAAGATCCCATTAATCCTTGCCACAGAGTTGGCTTTCTTCCCCAGAGTTCAGCTCACCACGTAGACACAACTCCACAAGTCTATGACCCCTTTCTGTCAGTGTCAGGGACGGGTGGATGGGAGGTGTGATTATGATCAGGATGTTTTCAAATGTCTCCATTTCCAGACCAAAAAAGTTTAATCATTTAGGTTCAACTTAATTCTCCCCAAGCGAGTGTTTTAGGGTGAAGAGGAAACGGATCTCTTCGAATTTCTACAACTCCCAGCACAGCTGCAGAGAGGTCAGGTGGGGATGGAAGTCAGGCAGGAACTGATGAACGAAGACATCTTTGCTGCCAAACGCCCCACCTCTGTGCTACTTAATCTTGAACCCCAGCTCTGGTCTGGATTGGAGAACTACTGAGAAACCTCGGTGCCTTCTAGCTGACACTGTAACCGATCCCAGGGGGCAGAGAAGAACGACGGTGTTGAATACTTGCATGAAATATGAATAATCATGGGGGTAAAAAATAATAATGGCTAATCAGCCAGCATGAATCACAACTTACCTGCTGGGACTTGACTCAGTTAGCAAAGATGATACACCATCCATTCTCCAACAATCAAAAATGACCTTTACATGCACATGGAAAGGTCAAGGGTGCAAACAGCCCCCCTTCTAAAAAGATGGTGATGGCTTTTTTTTTTTTTTTTTCAGAAAAAGAAATTGGATTCATGAGTGATTCGTTGAAATCACAGACTTTGTGGTGTTGTCAGGTCCTGCAGTTCAAATGGTCTAAACACATGGGTATGCAGACATGTGAAAAGCCAGTATTTCTAGTAGTATTGCTCTCCTACCACTTAAAAACAAGCCGGTGAACAACTGTTTCTATTATGTCTCTAAAAACTACAGTTAAAGCTAGAATAAAGTACATGATGTGGACAAAGCTGACCTGTTATTTGAAAACCCCAGCAGATTATAGATATGTACATATTTGTATCATCAACCCAATTGTCCTTTATTTTGGCCCATCTAGTTTACAAGCATGATTTCTGAAGTGAGACAGTATTTGTCATGGCAGCATCCAAGCACTTTTGGCTGAGTGAAGCATGGTTTGTTGCACAAAAATGTAGCTGTTTATGCAAGTCTAAACATTTCACAAGGGCAGCTGAGTTCATTTCAATGCTACTTACAGAATGATTATTGGCGAATGAAATGGGCTGTGGGAAAGACAAGGTATTTTTCAAGCTTCTGAAGGGTGCACAGCATCAGTTCTTCAACTAGCAAAAATAAAATGGAAAGGTCCAGGACGATGGGAAGGTGCAGGGTGAAACCTGGGGGCAGAGGGGGTTTTACAAGAGAGTATTTTCAATGGAAGAATGAGGGAAATGTTGTGTTACAGTCAGAAACATGGAAAGTATGCTGTTCAACACTGCTGGCTCTGGAATAAATAAAATCCAGATTCAGACTATTAAAAATATCAAAGTGCTCTGTCACGTGCCAACTCCATTTTCTTCTGTTGTTTGTTATGAAGAAAATCTATTATTGAATGGAATACAGTCCTGGATAAATTATCAAAGACATTTTCCATATGCAAACCATAGTTTGACATGTGTTATCAATTCTTCTCTAGCAATTTTAATATACTTCTATCACAGAGAGATAGGTGCAGAGTTAAAAGGGAATTCCAAGTTGTATTTTGACCACCTCTTCAAGGCACTGATCCCGCTCATTTTCATCTCATCTCTACTGAGCAACAGTCATGATCAAGATTCTTCTGGATAGCAAAATCAGAGATTTAAAAAAAAAAAAAAGAGCCTCAGACAAACCAACCAACAACAATGAACTCCTTAACCTATCCGTGGGCATTAAACAGATGCTAGCACTTTGTCTAACCTAGCTAAACTCAACACACTACAAGGAAGCCCATCCCCCCAATGGGTAGCTTTCTCATTAGGAAGGTATATGATAAACTGAGGCTTAGTGGGGTTGATACTAGCTTTGCCTTCTGGAAAAGCATCAGTGGTGTAGCCTACTCCCCTGGCTTTAGCCTAAGCTTCCCAGAATTGGAGACGACTTTCCCATGGCTTGGAAAATTCCACTCCCGTCCTCTCTTCATGTAACAAGTTGAATTCATCTTATTTTCACCACCACAAACTGTTTTGCTGGCCCGAGGGCTTTAAAACATTTTTTCTCCTATTAACTGAATGAGATTAGCAGTTAAATATTGAATATTGCATTTAAAACGAACCAGCATTTTTCAAGTTAGGACATTTGAAAACCAAGAGTTGCAGCATTCCGTTGGATTCAATTGAACACCGGCTCTCTGTAATTAGCCTAGCACTGCCCAACAACAGATGTTCAGGGGGACAGATGGAACACCTTGCCAGTGCTGTGTACTTGATGGGAGAGGGCACAAAGGTCGAATGCGCTAAGAGAATGACTGAATTTTATATTTGGAAGTTCTTAAATCTGGGAGTTTAGAAGTCACACGATTGATTAGGTCACAGTTTAGAAATGATGCTGCAATCTAAATGTCTTCCTAGTAAGCCAGATAAGGAACCAAGCATTCGGCAATCGGTAATCACTATACACAGGACCAACTGAAGATGTGATTTCTTCTCCTGGTGTTCATGGTGCATGCCCACAGAAGCCATAGATAACAGACCAAGGATACTTTAAACCCAGGAGACTTTTATTTCCCCTCCAGAAAGTCCCTTACCCTCCCAGCCTCCAATCCACACAAGAACACAAAACCATGGAGTAAACTAAAAAAGGGAGGGAGGGTAGGATCACTTTATTGTGACATGATGACATTAACCCCTTGTTGACAGGAATGACCGAGAGTGATTTTGGCAGATTGCACATGCTGGGTGATGGAGGGTGCACTGGTGATCCTCTGGTGGCCGAGGCTGTTTCCTTGTCTTCTCCAACCTCAGCGCACAAGCGGGCCAGTCACAGATTCCACTTCCGCTCGGTGTAGACGTTGAACAAGTCTTTGGTCTCAATAAGCACCATTACAAACCCTCACATTAAGGGCTTTATTATTCTAGTTTATAAATGTTTCAATGATAAAAATAACACGATTACAGTATACACACACTTAATTTACATGTAATGTATTATACTCATAAGTGAGATAAGCTACTGAACTAACTTTGGTTGATTGAAATGAAGTATCTGAGCTGAATACTTGGCATTTTGGTTTCTAACTTGTGTACTTATTACAGTGCATCGATAAATCTATTTTGAGACTTTACTAGCACCAAATAGACATCAGAAACGACCAACCTACTGCTTGCACTCATAGAAGCCAAGTTTCGAAATGTGAAAACAAATGGACCGTCAGATGGAAACACATTCCCGTGCGGCAGCTGGAAAGGTAGGTAGGCCGTCGGCATGAATGGCCAACCTCAGTGGATATTCATGTCCCAGTTTCCAGGAATCAACACGTATGACAAGGTAGCTGAGCTACTCATGAGAAGCCTGAGAAAGTGGTTGTTTGAACTAGGGTCATCACTGTACCTTGATGCCATTCAAGAATAGTGCTCATTTATACAGATTGACTTGGTGAATGATTGTACCATGATGTGAAGGTTCTGGTTTGGGGAAAATAGAATTCTACCTACCTACAGTTGCTTTTATTTTAATTATTTGGTCTTTGGATGGTGAATTAATGAAGCAGGATCTGAATTTTCATCTTCAGGTTATCGCCCAGTTCACCGCTGAGGTAGTCTTTGTCATGCCTGTCCTCTAACTGATTAAGTTCTTTCTTTTTATAAAGTGGAGTACTGCTGATTTGTAAGGAGTAGCTGCCAGCCACTGGCTTCTTCTTCGTGAAGTGGAGGTAGCTGACTCCTTCTTTCTGGTTGATTTTAAAGAAGCCATCTTCATTTCCAGATTCAATCAAGTATCTGTTGTGGTTCGTCAGAGTTGTAAGGGCCGGCAGGAGCTCTAAGATTCGGACCTTGTGGCTGATGTGGGAAATATTGAAAGCAAAGCTAGCTGGCTTCTCCACATCCCAACTTGCGAGGCTCACGTTGGCTTCCATCTCCGACCCATCCTGGAAAGACACGTGACAATGCCTTAACTCCAGCTAAATATGTTCTTTAGTTCTCATAAGAAAGAAAACGCCATTCAAGTTTCAAGACAAATAAGGTTTCTGCCTAGGCTGTGTCCACTGTGAGGAAGCTGCATACTCAGAGTACTTTGTGGAAATCACAAATGTGCTTTCAAAGAATTGATGGGAGGAAGAAACTGGGGTTGAAATCAGTTGTATTGGGGGAGGGGGAGGCTCTCAGTAGGTCTAAACTGTGGTCCCTGAACCAGTAGTCTTAGCATCGCCTGGAAACCATTAGACATGCAAAAGCTTAGCCCCTCTCAGACCTGTTGAATTAGAAACCCTGGGGCTCTTCCCAGCAATCCATTCTAACAAGGCTTCCGGTGACTCAGATGCAGAGATTTTTTTTTTTTTTTTTTGAAGCGCTGTTCATAGATTGTTTTCTTTCCAAAGACTTATTTCCCAAACCACAGGAGGTGGGTTGCAGAGGGGTTACTCAGACTCAGAACTCGTCTATTTCAATTTTGCTCACTGACACAAAAACCATCCCCTCCGAAGGACACACCTATGGACCTACTTCCTGGCTGTGATGAGCTGTTAAGGTCTGTGGGGTTCTGTTTGTTTGTTTGTTTGTTTTTTGTTTTTTTTTCCTTTCACCTAGCTTTCTGCTTGCCTCTTTGGGACCACGTAGGCTAAATGCTCCCAGCCTGGAGCCAGAGAACTGGGTGAATGCTGCATGTCTGACTTGACTTAGCATCATATGTTCCTGCTCACCACCCAAGCTCCCCCACACTCCCTGTGGCCCTTTTCCCGCAGAGGAGCCTTTAGTTTCCAGACCTCGGCGTTCCTGTGTGGGGAGCACTACTGTGTGTGCATGCCGCTCTGCCTACTTGGTGTCCTTTCTGCAGACACTGGGTGGGCGTTTGACTTTCTTCTTGGTGAGACAGGAAATGAGCAAGTGTGTGAAAACCTTTCCAACTGCCATTCTCCAAAGGCGGCCAGAACAAACAAATCAATAAAATAAAACAAACCCCCAAAGCCCCATAGCCTCTTGCAAAATGCTGCTAGAGCCAGGAGAATGACTGGGCTAGCTGTCGGGGGAGAGTGTTCACACTTTGGGGTGACCTTGGAAGAATGCACAAGAGCCCTTCCGTATCATCAGCCAAGGAGAGACCCCGACCTACCTGGATGTCCAAGGCATCTGTTTCGTTTGTGCTTCTCCGTTTCCTGCCTCGTTTGGAGTAGCCATTGATCTTACACTCATAGCAGGCTTCTGGGGACAGTGAATTGTCATCCATCTCACCGCTGGCAGGTGGCTCTGGGCCCCCTCTGCCCATGCCCATTCCAGAAACACAATGCCTGCCGTACAAAGGAGCACACAGACAGTTTGCATCAGAATCAGTAATGTCCAGCCTCCTGGCTGGTAACATCCCATTTTCCACTGGACGATCATCTGCTTCTAAAAAATCATACAAATGCCCTCTGTTGTGAGCTCCAAATACCCAATCCCCTGAGTACAGGGTCCTTTCTCTCAAGACACTGGTGTGCGTACTTCCTGATCCCTTCATCTCCCAGCCTACCGGCCTAAGCCTTTGCAGTACTCTGCAGAGAGGGGACACACTGAAAACTGAAGATCACATGACCTGGTGGAGCACTGAAACATGTCTTCTTCTAAGAATCAGGCCCCATGGGAGTAAGGAAGCTCCCTGGCAGCTGTACCTCTAGGGGAGAGCAGTGGGTGGACAGGTGGGCCAGATCTGGGGCCTCTTTCCTGGACAACGTATTTTTTTTCTATGCTGTGACCTTGATTTTTATGTTTTAGTTTTTAAAAGCAGCACATACTATGTCAGATGCTCTTATGACATATTCTGGACAGAGTGTTTCAGTGGCTTTCTCCCTCCCAGGTCTCCCACCCTCCTGCTGCTACCTCTGCTCCTACCAGCCCTCCATCCCAGTCTTTTACCGTTTCATGTCCCGTGTTTCTGGTTTATGTCCGTGGCCTAACCACTGCCTTCACCACCACTGCTGCCCCCTGCTGGCCCAACAGGGTATCGGGCAGCGTGGCGTGCTCTTCCTGGGGTTCTCGTAACCCACTTCCTGCTCTCCCGTCACTGCCACGCCTCCCCAACCCCTTTCTAAGCAGTCACATCTATTTGACAGTTTACTCTTGCGGGAAGAGAAGTCCAGGTGGTGACTGAGATATGCAGTATATTCTCTCTCTCTCTCTCTCTCTCTCTCTCTCTCTCTCGACGGGTTTTCTCTGTGTGTAACAGCTCTGGCTATCCTGGAACTTGCTTTGTTGACCAGGCTGGCCTCGAACTCACAGAGATCCGCCTGCCTCTGCTTCCTGAGTGCTGGGATTAAAACTCTGCACCACCGCCAGGCTACACACTATATTCTCACATACAGCATGAATCAGCACAGAACTTGCCCAACTGTGGGAAACAGTTTCAAGTCATTGAAAACCACTAAGGCCAGTGGATTTGACTCATGCGGGGAGGCTGATAAACAAACCCAGACCCAAGAGAGATCTAGTCCTTATTTCCTTGCTTTTCAGTTATCGAAGCCAAAGGAGCTTCACACAGTCTCTGATTTGTTTTTGTCAGGCTCCCTTTCTGAATGTGTTGAGAACCTAGGAATTATCCTGAACCAACCCTTAGTTTGGGGGGTCAAGTTGACTCAAGTGACATCACAGAGGGGCCAAAGCCATTATGAACGGGCGGGTGGATTTCTACCACGAAATGTACACCAACCCCTGCTAAACTGCTTCTCTGTGATGACTGACCTACTCTTTACAGCTCATTTCCTTGTTTGTCCACGGATTTCGAAACACACCAGCAAGTCGCTGGCTCGCTGCTGTTTGTCACCACCCTTTAGCGCTTCTCTCTACTTCCCAGGGTCTCCCTGGGTGCACACATTTCCTTTCCTCTTCACCTAGCAGCACAGAACATAGGTAAACAGAGAGGAGAATGAAGGGGGAGGCAAGCCCAAATCTACAGGCTTGGCTTCTTCCTCAGAACTTTCCTCCAGGATTTCCTTGTCCCAGGAGCACCACTTATAAGAAATGGGACTACCAAGTCCCACGGGCAAAGGGCCAGTTTGGAGTATCACTGTTTTTTTTTTTTTTTTTTTTTTTGGCTGGGAAAAATGGTTCTGGCATTAAACTGTAAAAAAATAAAGGAGTCAATTGAGAGCCAGACAGACATCTGGGAATTTGGGTCCTACTGCTGGCATTCTGAGAGCTTCCCACGAAGCATTCTTCTACCTTGACGTTTATACAGACTGGACTAAGTCCCTGAAAGCCAGTGTGCCACAGGAACAACTGGGTTCATATTTGGTATAAGTGTGTGTGTGTGTGTGTGTGTGTGTGTGTGTGTGTGAGAGAGAGAGAGAGAGAGAGAGAGAGAGAGAGAATTAAGAAGTTAAGATTCATGAACCAGATGTGCACAAGTCATTAGGGAAGACCTCAACTTTAAAAACTTACTAAAATTTTAAGCCATTGAGAAAAACAGTGTTCCTTTCTGCCCCAACTGTCAGATACATGTTCACATCATTTGGTAAAATTTTCTACCCGGAAATTATAGTTAATTATTCCAACTCATACTTAATGTGCTTTTTGATCATTTCTAATATAATTCAAGAGTGAAGGGCAAAAGATGCCTTAAAAACCGTAAGAGCAGGCCAGGCAGTGGTGGCACACGCCTTTAATCCCAGCAATCGGGAGGCAGAGCCAGGTGGATCTCTGTGAGTTTGAGGCCAGCCTGGTCTACAGAGTGAGCTCCAGGACAGGCACCAAAACTACACAGAGAAACCCTGTCTCAAAAAAACAAAGAAACAAAACAATGAGTTTCTAGCAATCTGGATACACCCCTTATGGATGCGCCTCTCAAACTTTCTCAGGGATAACTGGAGTGACCCTGATGGTTATGGAAAATGTAGTTCTCTAGAAGGGCAGGTACTTATGTAGAGATGCACATTTAGTGAGTCATTGATCAAGGGCAGGAAGAGAAATACTTACCCTTGGCCTATCCGGAAGTAGCCTGGAGGACAGCCGCACAGGTAGCCACCCTCAGTATTGGAGCAGCCATAACTGCAGGGGGCCTGCGATGAGCCACACTCATTGATGTCTTGGCAGCCTCCGCTGAACTGTTCATACTGGAAGCCAGTGGGACACATGCACTTGTAACTCCCCAAGGTGTTATGGCAGGAGGCTCCCCCACAGACGTGTGCGCTCAAGCATTCGTTTTCATCTGCAGCAAAAACAAGAGAACACTACATGTGTGATGTTGCAATAGACTTCCATGGAGGAATTTGGGTCATATTCCTCATGACTCGCCAACTGGCCTATAGGGACGGAGGGAGGGAGGAAGGAAGGGAGGGTCTCAGGGAGAAAAAGCAGGCAGTGTAGCCAGAGTGGAGAGAACCAGAGAGAAAGCTGTGGAGATGGAGGGAGCCTCTTGGCATGCTGACTAAATATGGTAGAGGGAGTCAAATGCATCTAGGGGGAGCATCCAGGATGGCACTGTGAGAAGCCTCAGACTTCAGTTCTCACTGAAAGCCAGTGCCAGCATGTTCTGCTCCATGAGAGGCAGGACCACAGCTATAATTTGGGGTTTTAGGGCAGGTGGGAAGGGACCATACAGTTATCTGTGTTCTTGCTTCACAAGCGTCTGCAGGATGGCTATCCCGGAAGCAGGGACCCACCACTTCTGCAGATGCTGCCCGGGGGCCTGCCTGTTGCAGGATGTGAATGAAGGTCGGGGGAAGGCTGATATTCTACAGGGGAATCCACCTCATTTGTACTTTCTTTTCAAAAAGTCTACAAAGGCCTCTAGGTGCTCATTCTTAGGCCATGTCTCACCTCTTGGTATGGCTGGGTTTTTTGTTTTTTGTTTTTTTGTTTGTTTTTTGTTTTTTTAAATCTCTGAATGCCTATTCAAACCAGTTGTGATTCCAGTGTCTGAGCCATGACTAAAGCTAAGTATGGCACACTTTTCAGGCAGTGACAGGGGACATCTATGAGACACACATTCTGCAGGGAAGCCTACCCACAGAAGCCTACATAGTCTGGAGGAGATAGGAAAATAGAATAACTCTTAAAGATGTCTTTTAACTTTTATTTATATATGTACGTGTGTATGCCACATGCATGCAGTGCCTATAGAGGCCAGGAAGGGCTCTAGGTCCCCTGGAACTGGTGTTAGGGACAGTTGTGAGCCACAGTGTGGGTGCTGGGACTCGAACCCAGGTCCTCTGGCAGAGCAGCCAGTAAGCCTTAGTCGCTGAGCCATCTCTCCAGCCCTAGAAATCTAACTTTCAAAAACTTCAGTTCAAATGAAGAAAACTGTGACCTTCTCATTATTTCAGTCTACATACTTTTGAAATCTCTACGATTCTTCCCTGGACCTGCCATTGTGGGGCATGCTGGGAACTTGCTGTTAAAAGCTGTCCTCAGAGCTACAGCACTCTCTCTGGAGTATGCATGGCCTTCATTCCTCTTCGGGTGGCCACTTCCAGCAAGGTGTGAAAGGAGCGCTCCCTGGAGCCATATGGGGATAGAGAGGATGTGGGGGTGTTTCACATTCCTTTATGGAAGCCTTCTGACCATCCTAGGAGCTTTAGGAATCTTCTCTAGGACCCTACACCGAGCAGCAGCCAGGCCAGGGCCCTGATGGGGCTGCTTGACTGCAGGGACCATGTTCTTTATACCATAGTGGCCCGCGAGGGCACAGCTATGCTGAAAACCGCGTTTCTTCTCTCCTGTAATTCATTTGACCTTCTTTGTTCAGAGAGAACGACGCTCTTTCTCTTTTTCTCCAAATGCTCTAAATAACTCACTTTTTAAAACATGCATTTATCGTGTGTGCATGCATGCACACACAAGCACACACACGAGAGTGTCACGGTGCATGTGTAGAGGACAGAGGACAACTTGTGGGAGTCTGCTCTCCCCCTCTGCTCTGAGGACCCTCCGGACTGAATTCTCGTCACCGGCATTGGCAGCCACTGAGCCAACTCACCAGCCTCAAACACTTATCTAAGTTGGTGTATATTCATGTACACAGTGAGCGATGAGTCTAATACATACACTATCATCCAAGTGTATTGTGCAGTTCCACCCTCCCCACCCTCCCCTCCCCTCTCCCCGTCTCCACCACTACCCCTTCCTTTTCCCTGTTCATCCTTCTTCTCTCACGCCATGTATGTGAAGTTAGTACACAGGTGTGTAAAAGTGGAAGGCCTAGGGTTTTTGCTGGTAATACAAATGCTTAGTATCATGTGTGTCTGTGTGTCTAGTATTATTCACGGGCATGTATCCTTCCCCCTCCTCTCCAGTCACTAGCCTGACTTTGCCTATTTGAGTTCCAAAGAACTCAAGTCTAAATCCAAGGTCCCTTAGGCTACAGGGGTCCTAAAATAGGAAAATCAAATATAACGTTGTCTCTGTTCTTTTCCCTTATTTTAAATAAGGAATGAAGTATGCTATAGATACCAGTGGAGGCCGTAAGCACCAGACCTTAGCTAAGCAAAGAGTAAGGAGTGTAGGAGAATCTGGGACGACCATTCTTTCTTGACCCTCCATGGCCTCTATCCTCTCCACCTGCTCTCAGCCCGCACAAAACTGATCTGTGTGGAGCATCAGAGCCTCTGATCTCTTCTTCTCCACATGGGTTTGGCTCATGGGACCCAGACTAATAAGCCATGAGGCATGGGTAGATACAGGGCAAGACCTGTCAATCTATCGCTAGATTTATTTTGCTTTTTGCTAATAGGCACAAAGTAGATCGACATTAGAGGAAGGGAAGTAATTCATTACACAAAAAAGATGCTTGTAAATATTAACTCTATCCGCTCCTAGACTGGACGATCAGGAAAGAAACCAAGTGCCTCTCAGCATGCAAGCTGAACTGGCCTGGTCTGGAAGGCTGGAAGAGTTCCTCTCTGAGGCAGATGCCAAATTGGAGAGTCTCCAACAGTCCTTTTAACCTCTCCCTGGGCTTCTGTAAATATTCCTTCTGGTGGAGAACTCTCCTCCCTTTTCATAGACTTTTTATTTTATTTTACTTCTTCTCTGATAACATTTCATAAACATTTAAATTCATATTGCTCATCTGTGTTGGGGCGGCAGGGCACAAATGAAGATCAGCAGTCTTCAGTGCTCAGTGTCCGCAGCCTGAGAACAACATGCTCACACATGTGGCCTTTGCCGTCTGCAAATGCAGTAGTTTGGTTGACATGTACCCCTGACCCCTTCCGTCCATCCTGTATACCCTGGGCAACTGACTCCACAAGGAATTTAGTTTTCTATCCTTCTCAATATCTTGATTCGTTCTTCTATCTGCAATTTTATTGGTGAGAATTTCCTCCTTTTTATATAAAAAAGAGCATTCTAATTAATTAAAATATCAATTAAAGCCCCTGAAAACCACTCCATAGGACAGATTAAAACCCACCACCCTGACCTGCAGCAGGTCACATGACGCAGGTTAGTGGTGGTATCGGCTGCCAGTAGGAAACTCCTAAATGTAGGGTAGGCTTTCTTTGATTGCTTTTGGTAGGGCCAAATGGTTTCCACTCCATCTGAGAGTTGAAATCTGCTATTTGCTTCCAGAAAGGATTGGAGTTAATGGCCCCTGACTTCTAACTCAGCCACCAGGAAGAGTGAACTTCTGACAAGCTATGAATGGGCACCCAGGTGGGTGGTCCAAGAGATCTGCTCTGGATAGCCCCACCCTGAGGGAACCATTCCAGCTCATGACAGAACTCATTGTAGATAACTTTATTTCTTGAGAGTTCTGAGCCTCGTTTGGGGTTTGGGTTGAACAAGAACCCCAAACTCCTTCTAGCTTCTTACCTGACTTATTATGAACTGGCCATGATCTTCCTGGAACCAAAAACCTTCAAGGAACTAGATACTGTAGAGAGATCCCCAGTGTGGAGTTCTAACAG